GTATACAGGATTGTAGTACGAAAATGTAACCACAAGAAAGAGAAGTGAAAGCTGCATCGATTACTTTCTGAAGCTCATTCAGATCTTCATTGTGCATAGTCTTATAGCGGTCTGAAAAAACCGACAAAACTTTCGGGATGACCTTATATCATCTTGGAAGCTTTAAATTCAGAGTAATTACTGATGATTGATGCAATTGTGACTGACATAGGCTTACCAAAATCCGATGGTTCTGTAAAAAATCTTCCAAAAAATTACGGCGAGCTATGAAAAGGAGAAAAAACTTGTACTGTATTCTATAAGGTTTGCTCTATCCAACCGTTACTTGAACTCCTTCTGAGAGTTGATATGAAGCTTTTGAAAATTGTGAAACTTGACAATTTCAAAAAGCATGGGTCGCATTTGGTTATTTTCCGAAAGCTCAATGACTAAACTGCAACGATTTTACTACGGTTAAAAAGAGGATGAAATGCTGCACCACGAAGATCTCTTAGAAATCACTTTTCCTTCAGATGTGGCGCTTATTGAAAAAAGCGAAATTACTTTCGGAATGATCTAATAAAAAAAATTTAAACATTTTTAAAACCATTTAAAATTTGGAAATCCACTGCATTACAGGTAAAGACGAAGCCGTTCGCAAATTCAACTACCCTATTTTCAGGTGTATAAGCCTCACCTCAGACAGTCGGGATACCTCCGGCGGGTATATGGCGCGAGTCTGCCACTTCGCGCTCCGGAGCCCTGCCATTTCACGCATTTTGCTGCTCCGGGGCTCTCCCAAAACTGGCGCACCTCCGGAGCAGAGATTTGCGCGTCCCGGAGAGGGGTCCCATTCGTCCTGTTTGTGACGTCACCGTGACGTCACGGTGAATGAATGGGACCCCTCTCCGGGACGCGCAAAGTTATTGCAAAATCATTGTCAGAGATTGGCTCTTTGAGCTCAATAAAAGCGTAGTGGTAGTTGAAGACTGTTCCATTTGGCGCTCTCGGGAAGATGGACAGCTCAGCTGAACGCAAAATTCATGACATCCGTCAATGACTAATGAAAGAAATCTCAGAATTTGCCGAGATTTTGCAGTACAGGTAATTGTACATGCTAAAAACAACTATTACTTACTTGTCGTCAAGCTAAAACTTTCCTTGACCTTATTAAAAGTACATTGTCTTGCAAAATAAGTGCGATTCTCGTAATCAGCGGGTCGAGAAACCCTCTAGGCCAAGCTGGGACGGTAACGATCTGGGACAATCAATGAATTTTTCTTTTTACCATACATATACCTGACTCTTAAACGGGTGCCAGAATTTGGAACAAGTCGCTGCCGTAGATCAAATCATAGTTCAAACAATTCCAAAGTTTGAGTACACCACATGCAAAAAGAGGAAAGTTATGGAAGAAGTTCCAAAGCTAATTAACAACCTGATGTCTGAAATACATCAAACAAGCCTGCACATTCGTTTTTCTTGTCAAATGTATTGGGTTATATTAGGTTGTCAAGAAAATGTGACGCTTTTTATTTGCTTGATATGGCACCGCGAACCAGCATACCTCAGAAATGCGTGAAGAGTACTGTTCGATAGAGCAAAGCAAGCTTTACAAAACCCACTCGAAAATTTGCTTCAAAATCGTTCCATTTGAAACTTTAAGCAAGAATCTCAAAGGATCAAAATGCATGAGAAGTCGAAGAGAAATAACACGTCTAGAAAAAATCTACGAGCTTCTTACTCCCTTACACGCTTATTCTCCACATCTGATATTCATCGCAAATTGTTTTTTTCATAGTTGAAACTCCAGGAACATACATACACCAATATAGGCCAGAATTGCAAAAAATCTCCTTTTCTGAATTTTTTGTACTAAATTTGATATTGTTCAAAATCTATTGCCTGTAAAGAGCTAAAAAAAGCAGTGTCTTCGATTTGAAAGGTTCACATTACAGAATTACTTATGTGGCAGCAGCTCAGCGCAGCGGCAAAACATGGAAACTCTTTTCTCCATTTCTAAACATGGAAGAAAATAAGTAAAATTTCAGATAAATACCAGATGTAGAGAGTATGTGTCTGAGCAAGTAAAATCTCGTAGGACTATTCTATATGAAAATATGATTTTTTTCCAACTTTTATGCATTCAAATCTTTTTGATCTTGACTTCGAACTTTATGCGGAATAAACTTTTAGCAATAATTTTAGTGCGGTCTTATAGAGCTTGCAGGGTAGGGGAACGAAAGCCGCCAGTTTGAGCCGCCTTTCGCGGCCAACTGGTCCCTTCGCAGTGTTGTTGCATGTCGTTCCAGGACCAGCAGTCCACGGAGGCGGCCCAAATTGGCGGCTTTCGTTCTCCCACCCGAGCTTGCATTGCTATTTCGTTTTTCAACAAGCATCGCATTCCGGGAACAAAGGTTCAAAAAAGATCTTACAAGTATTCGATGTAGTTTTTCATGCTCTTTCAAATGCTTATCTTCATATTGCACTCCATCCAACTTTACATCAAACCATCGAATACCAAAAAGCGAATCATAGTTTCTGCCATGGTCAAGTTCCGCTATCTTTGTAAATTTTTGTACTGATTTCCAGAAGAATGCAAGTAAGGGATGAATAGAACAAACCCTATCTTATATACAGGGTGTCCCAAAAAGATGTGCACACTGTTTGATCGTTAATAACTCTCCTGTTTTCATGTCTTTTGCCGAGCTTAAGGTGCCATTCTGTAGACCGAGGTTCAACTTGAATTTGCTATGTGGAGCGAATCACCAATCACTCTTCATTACTGTAGGATTACGGTATGAACTTCCAGCATACAGCGTCACTGTGAGATAGGCCTTTTCATGAAATAATTCCAAAAAAATCTGGAAATTTGTATGGCAAGATTTTCAGGCATGCTGATTTCACTGCATGACTTTTCGTGAGTTTTTCGAGCTTTCTTGGTGACGTATTCACATTTCTGATGGACATTGGAAAAACAGTTGTTACGATAAATCTGAAATAAGTTATGAAAGAAGCGCTATACTAAAGTGCAAATTTCATATTTAGACTCAGGGGCTTCGATTGGCCCATTCAAGAGTTTCTGGCTTGTTTGGCTTTCTTTCTGAGGCAAATTACGGGGAAAATACCGCTTTGAATGGCTTAAAATCCTCTTCTAAGTTCCCACCGTAATCTTACAGTAATGAAGAAGGATCGGTCATTTGCTCCACAAAGCAAATCTAAGTTGAACCTCGGTCTACAGAATGACACCTTAAGCTCGGCAAAAGACAGGAAAGCAGGAGAGTTATTAACGATCAAACAGTGTGCACATTTTTTTGGGACACCTGTTATAAAGCTGAATGTCTGTTTGTCTGTCTGTCTGTATGTCTGTCTGTCTGTCTGTATGTATGTACGTATGTTCCGAATAGAAAATTCCATTTCTGAACCGATCCGGACCAAACTTGGCATACATACACTTCGGGCCCCGGCGGGTGTCATAGGCTACTTTTCGTCATCGATCGATATCGATTTTATCGATTTTTATCGATTTTTTTGCTGAGTTCACCTACGGGGCTGGGAGTTGGCACAGGGGGGTAATCGAGCATGGGTATTCCGAATACAATATTGGTTTTCAGGATTATCGATTACTTTTATCGATTTTATCGATTTTTTTGCAAAGTTTGAGCTACGGGGCTGGGAGTTCGCACAGGGGGGTAATCGAGCATGGGGATTCCGAATACAAAATTGGTTTTCGCGATTATCGATTACTTTTATCGATTTTATCGATTTTTTTTGCAAAGTTTGAGCTAGGGGGCTGAGAGTTGGCACAGGGGGGTAATCGAGCATGCTGATCACCCCCAAGCCAAATTCCAGCCCCCTAGCTCAAATTTTCAAAAAATCGATAAAATCGATAAAAGTAATGGACGATCCTGAAAACTAATATTGTGTTCGTAATCAGCATGCTCGATTACCCCCTGTGCAAAATCCCAGCCTCGCATGTCAAAATTTACAAAAAATCGATAAAATCGATAAAAGTAATCGATAATTCTGAAAACTAATATTGTATTCGGAATCCCCATGCTCACTTCCCCCCCCTGTGCCAACTCCTAGCCCTGTAGGTGCACTCTGCAAAAAAATCGATAAAAATCGGTAAAATCGACATCGATCGATATCGAAAAGTGGACTGTGACACCCGCCGGGGCCCGAAGTGTATGTGTGCCAAGTTTGGTCCGGATACGGCGGAGCCGGGTAAGCCAGCTAGTAGGATATAAAAAAAAATTTTTCCTTTCATAACTTATCAAAGTTTCCAAAATCATTTTTCTGATGCTATCAATTTCCATACATCATGTCTTCGAGAGATGGGCTTCTATTATTCTGATTACTTCTTTGATGCCATAAAACTCCATATTTGGTCAAATCAATCCCACTAGTTCGGAGCGGCGAGCGAGTCGGTGTCATATGTAGCATTTTCTGTACTTTCTAATCGAAGTTTTTATGTAAAATAATTTCGATTCATGAAGTGATTTGGGATAAAATCAACAGAATTTATTGTTCTTACCCGGAAAATTCAAGGTTTGCAATTACAAATCCCTGAACGCTCATATATTTTACAAAATTCGTGTCGATACTTGATCCAATTCAAAAGTATCAGAAATGGAGAATTTATTGGTGTTTGAGGAGTCTGCATCTATTATAAGTCTGCTAAAGTTCGATTGAAAAATGCTAAAAAATTCTGTTAAAAAATATGGCGAGTTAGGGAGGAAAGCAAACTTGTTTTGTACCCTATAGGGTTTGTTCTGTTTATGCCTTAGTTGGACTTCGAGGAATAAGTACAAACATTTAAAAATATAGCGGAACTTGACCTTGGTAAATCCATGAGTCGTGTTTGGTAATTTTTGGTGAGCTCGTTGGCTGAGCTGCAACGTAAGGATAATTATAATTTTTTTGTAAACCTTTCGCGAAATGTGGCACTTATTCAAGAAGAGCGAAATTACGTACGGTACGAACCAATAATTGCGTACAGGAATTCAAATCAGTTTCAGATACAAACTCAGCAAGAAATGCTGCTTATATATATGCGATCAACAAGGGTGCCAAATACATCTACGATTTAGAAGACAGGGTCATTTTAGGAGGTTGGTTTCTCTTTTGTGTCATACCTCCCAAAGTCCGTCTAGGCCGAGCCTTGATCGAAATCGACAAAGTCGGCTATGCCCCAGCATAAATCAGCGCATAGAGCAATAGCGATTCTTCGCTCACAATATAAAAGAAAACGATTCACGCTTTGCTGAAGTTGTTGTGATGCTTTGTTCTTTTGCCTTATTTTAATATCATAAACATGGGTTGCAGAAGAGAGTCTGAAGTCGTTCGAATATGACGAGATATCAAGTGGACTGTGGTATTACGTCCCATCGTCATCTACTACTGAGTGAGCTCATTCTTGTTTCTGAGGATTATATAGTGCGTTTCATAACTATACGACACCCCCCAAAATTTGGGATTTCCGGGTTTACAAAAAAGATCGAGTAATCCAATCAGTGCCTGTATGATCCACATATGGTGCTGAATAAAATGACATCTCAATCAATATGTCTACTCACTTGCTTTTCTACATGTGAGACATGTTTAATCTTCCACTGTTTCATAACTATACGACACTTTTGAGCAAAGCACTTTTTCCAGCGAAAAGAATACGCAAAACGTGGTTTTAATAAGTAATCGGGCTACAGGGCTCTTTTACCACTTCACCAAGTCTATTGGAGATGCTTCTAATAAATTCAAGCATGTCTTCGGTTCACTGTTGTCACATGCGTACATAACAAACTGCTCCAACTTTTCCGATGCCTCATATTGCGCGTATCTGCTCAGAAAAGCTGTGTCATAATCTTCAAAGATTTTCTGAAGAATCTCAGACAAGACAGTATGGTCACCTTTACAGAAGCTGCTCGCGAGCTAGCGGAAAATGGCAGTAAGTGACCCGCGTGCATGTCAATGCGTTGTGCTGCTTCGAAACGTAGTACCGTCACCGGCGCTGCTGGAGGGAGAACAGTCGTGGGCTTTCCAGTACTTCTTGGGAAACTGCGCGCAAATTTTTTCACCGAAATTTAGGCTTTTGAACCATGCAAAGTGCCCCCCAGATTATAGAGTACCCTCCGCTAAACTTTCTCTTGCTAAAATGATGTGGACTTTGCTTACGTCCGGCCAGTCGGTCCTTTACCAGTCCAAACCAAATTTTCTGATCAGATTACACTACCAAATCACTGGCTCATACTTTCTGTCATATTCTTAACGAAGCGCCTGTAACAGCACTACTTTTCGCAGCAGCACAACGCCTACAAACATGCACGCGGGCCACTTACTGCCGTCTTCGCCAGCATCATGAACAGCTCCTGTAAAGGTGACCATACTATCTTGTCTGAAATCCTTCAGAAAGTCTCTGAAGATTACTGGCACGCTTTTCTGAGCACATACGCGCAGTATGAGGCATTGGAAAAGTTGGAGCAGTTCGTTATGAACGCATGTGACAACAGTGAACCGAAGACATGCTTGAATTTATTAGAAGCATCTCCCATAGACTTGGTAAAGTGGGTAAAAGACCCGGTACCCGATTAGTTATGAAAACCGCGTTTTGCATATTCTTTCCCCTGGAAAAAGTGCTTTGTTCAAAGGTGTCGTATAGTTATGAAACACTGGAAGATTAGACATGTCTCTACATGTAGAAAAGCAAGTGAGTAGACATATTGATTGAGATATCATTTTATTTAATACCATATGTAAATCACACATGCACAGACTAGAGTAATCGATCTTTTCTGTAAATCCGGAAAATCCACATTTCGGGGGTGTCGTATAGTTATGAAACGCACGTAGTTTTGAAAACAACTGGCATAGTCGGCATCGCGCCCACCTTGATCTGTACTTAAATGCCAAAAAAGTAAGGTGTTCCTCAGATGAAAATTTTTTGGCAAGTTTTGAACTTGAAAATGAAGTATAATGCTAACAGACAATTGCTGACTACGCTAATATAAAGATTTTTGACTCGGGAGGAAGAGAGGAAGTGGTATAGAGGTAATGATACATACTACTATGCTTTGCCTTTGGTGGGTCATCGACGTGACGTTTTTCGATACAGGTTCTCTGCCATATTGCACCAATTATTTCGGTTCACTTGCATAGAGAGAAGAAGGACTAGTCCCGGTACTGTCAATCTTGATTGGACATTCTAAGCAACGGATATTACGCTAGATGAAACTTGCGTCATAATTTGATTAAGCGATTCAAGCGGGATATAAGTATCATTTATCCTCTGATCAAGGGCTGCATGCATTAACATCCCCGCCGGGGAAAGGATCGCAGCTTCAGAAGAAAGCTTCATATCCTGAAGCTCTAAAAATCTGGATTTCACGGTCTGTCTATCCGTGAGCATTCCCATTGATTCTTCATGATGGACATATTGAACGAGAGCAAGAAGCTGTAGGAGCTGCATTTTCAGCTTTTTGTTTGATCTCCTGATGATTCCTGGCTGCCGATCGTCTTCTCTTTGAAACCATTTTTCTTTTTTCAAAGTCAATAAAAACAAGCGAGTTGTGCTTTTTATCTAACCCAACACTGCTAATCATGTTTCTTGCAAGAACAAGTGATGTTTCGAAGTCATGAAATTCGCGATGAACCACAAGTCGAAAGTTGGTGTTTATCGAAAAAATCGATGTTTCAAAAACTCACTTGTTCTTATCAGCAGTATGCTTAGCACTGTTGGGTTAGATAATCAGTACAAGTTTGGAAGGTTTTCGTTAACTTTGAAGGAAGAAAATTAACTTCGGAGAAAAGACTTTGGCCGCGGGGATCGTCAGGGGATCATAAAGGCTGGAAACGCGGCTACAGCTTCTTGTTCCCTTTCAATATGTTCAATGAAGATTGGTGGGAATGCTTACGGATAGATAGACAGCGTGAAATCTAGTATCTAAAGCTCTTCAGGATATGAAGCTTTGTTCTGAAGCTGCAAACCTCCCTGGCGAGGGTGAATGGTATTACATGCGGCCCTAAGAGACGCGAGCACGCTTTGCTTACGTTTGATCAACAAGTTCGTGAATAAGTTCTAGTGCATTTTAGTTGATTACCATCAGGATTTGTGGAAGAACGTGTTCAAGCCAGCGTGGTTTAACAAAGTCAAAAATGTTCTTCCACGAGTTTTATTGGTAAATCAACCAAAACGCCTTGAAACTTATTCACAAATTTATTACTAAAATGTACGCAAAGCGTGCTCGCATCTCCTAATCAGAGAATGAATTATGCGCTGGCTGTAATTATAATGGTGGTTTGTTTGATCATGTATGAGTGATCATCCTTGATTTGATTGATAAAGTTAGCCGGCGGTGAATTCCTTAGAAGAAGGTTGATATGTATCTAAATATCAGCCAGCCTCGAAAAGTAGCCTAGAAAAAATCTACAAATAGGTGTGAAAGGTTAAAGTCAAGTTAATATAGAGGGTGTCCCAAAAAATGTGAACACTGTTTGATCTTTAATTACTCGCTTTCATGCCTTTCGCCGAGCGTGAGGAACCATTCTTTAGAGCGAGGTTCAACTTAGATCTACAGTATGAAGCGAATCGTCGATTGTTCTTCATTACTGTAGGATAACGGTAGGAACTTCTAGCATGTGAATTTATGAAATATGCCTTTTGACAAAATTTTTTTCAAAAAAATCTGAAAAATGTGTACCAGGGTTTTCGTGCACGCTGATTCCATTACACAACTTTTTGCGAGTGTTTTTAGCTTTTTTGATGGTGTAGTCACATTTACGACAAATGCTGGAAATTCAGTGTTATGGTCTAGTTGGGATAACTTTGAAAGGAGCATCACAGTAAAGTGGAAATTTCATATTTGAACTCAGCGGCTTCCATACCGTAGTATAAAGGTTTTTGCCTTGTTTGGTTTTGTTCCGAGGAGATATGGCCTCCAATGGCCTAAAATCCTTGTTGAAGTTCCCATCGTTATCCTACAGTAATGAAGAGCAATCGACGATTCGCTCCATACTGTAGATCTAAGTTAAACCTCGCTCTATAGAATGGTGCCTCAAGCTCGGCCAAAGACCTGAAAGCAAGGGAGTTGTTAACAATTGAACAGTGTTCACATTTTTTTGGGACACCCTGTATATTTTGTTTGTGATAACCTTGCTTACCTCTCCTTCCTGCAAATTTTTAGCCCTTCAGAGCATAAAATACGAAAAAATTAATTAATACTCGATAAAACCTATGTCGTGGAATAGCTTCGAAATGTCCGAAATGACAGTAACGTACGATTTATCAATTGGTCGTATTGTCGTGAAAGTGTTATTCATAGGCAAAAAATCTTCAACCCCAACATATATTTTGGTATTCCGCTGATACACAGCAAAACGTCGACGGCTTATTTGAAGGTAGCAGTATCACCGTTCGTATTTACAGTGACTTGTATACATATTCCAGAGTCAAACATACGGGAACTATTTGCGTTTGTGCCACAAAATAAACACACCAGCAGTGCAATTTGCAGTAATCCACGAACGGCTTCATGTAAAGTCCAGGTATTGTTGTCTGATAAAAAGTATGCATAGGAAAATCTTACAAGGGATTGGTTCCGATTCAAAGCTATCTCAGGCTGCATCTTGAATGCCGCATAGGACGCCGAATCAAATTCCACCTTCCTTAACTGTCAAGCGTGTCTGCAGACGAAGTCTAAGCTTTTAATGCAAATTATGGAAACTTGGACGCATACGTACATGTTTGGCTCAGTAGCCAAGGACTTGAGCGTAGGGATTACGCGCGACAAAGTCGTCACAGTTTCTGGTCGCGACGACTCGCTCGAATTGGCGACTGAAAGCGGCGACTGAGTTGGCGTGATACCCCTGACGTGATTTCATGCAACACAACACTTCACATATTGCACGTACTATCCAACTGATTATTCGCCGCTTCGCAGATAGTGAATCTAGCAAGCGTGAGGCTATTGCTTTTTATGATCGCTTCCTAGCTTCTTCGCTGTGCTAAAACATGCAGCAATGGGTCCTCTCTTCGTAATACCAACAGAAGTTGACAGCAAATGACATGAGCAAATAGTCAAATTTGCACACTATACGTGGCACTACTTTCAGCATAGTGATGGATGGAACAACTATGTTGATAAAAAGTATTATAAAAAAGAGAAAAAACTTGTCGCGCTTACCTTGTTTCGGACAAGTCAAATGTGGTAGGAAACAGGCCTTGCTGGACGCCGATACGACGACACCATCAATCGAATTGTTTCAGTTGTAAAGCCCGGGACTCATTAATTAAACAAAGCATGAATCTTTCTCAATATCATCAGACCAAGGACCATAACATCAGAAAGATGCCTGACCTGGTTTAAAAAACACTCATGACTCGCAAAAAAGGACAACATGCATCAATAACATCGAAATTGCGGTTTAGAAACGATGTGACGATTGCCTTGTCGCTTGCCGCAAATGGATGACACGACGACGCGCCGACTCGACAAAATCGCGACGATTTCGCTTACTTAGTTATGTACGTCGAAGTGCAGCAATTTGTCGTGGCGAGCAGCCATCGCAAATGCGACTCACGCACTCAACGCCGCGGCATTGAACACTTACTTGCCCAACCTAGCAAATCGCGTCGCGAGAAATTGCGTGAGCTTCACTTAGTAGGCCCTAATTCTAGAGATGGAAAAACATTAGACCTGAACTCCAACCATAAGAGAATTTTATACGGTTAATAGTAAAGTTTTGCGTGTTTAGGGATCTGAGCTTGCCCTTCTCTCCACCCCCTTGTGTGCTCTAAATATAGCCCTGCAACCGCCATGTCTCGCTCAACTGTTGCGTTCACCTCATTGAGCATGCGAATGCGAAGAATTTTCCGAGAAATTCCAAGTTCCATTCCTCTTCGTACCTTGCCCATGGCAACTCTATTCTTACAATAAACATTTGTTCAACGCCACAGTCAGCTGTAATAGCATAATTTCTAGGGCGTACGATGAAAGGCTGATTATTGCAACAACTAGGGTTTCTTATAGCCAGTGTGTTGTGATTGTTACTGTTTAGTATTGGTCTTTATTGACAAATCCTATTTTTTAGTGTATTCTTTGAAACATCTAGCTTGAAACCCTTTTCTCATTTTCCCAGGCCCGATGACTCATATTATCTCGTACATTAGCTGCTTTGAGAATGCCCGCCTATTTCATAATCTCATCATACTCCTCCCATTCTGCTCACAGTCAGTGCTGTTTCTGCGTAAGCGATAAACGATCGATTCAGAGCAGTCCTCCAGTGATTCGAACGCGTATCATCCGCGCGTATTTGAGCGACATCCGAAGCCACTTGGGGGGCCGAACCGCTCACTGGATCCGGAAGGGGTTTAGACCTTCCGGAAGAAACTCTTGGGGCTCTGATCCCCACTTCACTGAAGTGATCAAGCGGCGGCTCTAGCCCCGCTCCAGATACAAGCGTCATAGCTTGAGCCATTCAGTCTCGACTTGGATATAAAGCGGCAGCAGCAATACTGCTCAGTTCAAACCGACTAAAAACACTAGTAGTCTCTATCATCAATCGGCAAAGCAGCGGCTTTTGTCCTGCATGTAATTTATGCAGAACGACTCAGCATAACTAAGAAATACTGCTAGTCCTCATTTCGATCATTAAGGCGGTATAGCCCATCATTCGGTAGATCCGTATCGATCTAATTGTTTGGAATTAGAGGGCGTCTTGAGCCGCAGAAACGAGCAGAAAGAGCTACCGCAAGCGCGTAGCGTCGAAGAACTATATTTCGAGGAAGTTTGGTTATGTGTCACTGCACTAAAGTCTGCTTCCGATTTTTACGTCGTTCCCAAATTGTGGCGTTCGTTTAAGTCTTACATCCAAAAAGATTTTATTGTAAAGAGATTCGTAGCAATGATATTGCAAGACGAAAAACCCGCGGCACAGCTCAATGCAGATAACAAGATAACTACTAAGATGGACGTAAGAGAACAATTACCAATGATGACAGAAATGTACAAAGAAGTCCATGATAGTATGAGCTTAGTAAAAACAGAATATGAGAAAGAACTGAGCACAGTTTTTCGCATGAATGATAAGCGCAGAGTAGCAAGTTTGGCAAAGCTAAAGGAGCAGGTGGAATTTGCAGAACAAAAAGTGAGTGGGATTCTCAGCTCAGTAGCTTTTAAAGACGCGGAAAAAGCGCGCATCAAATCGACCCTGAAGTGTTGGAGATATTTGCGCGAGCCGGATTATGGTCACCAACAGAGCTGGAGCATTCCCTTGATAGATCCCTTCATGCAGTGCCAGTTGATCGCAGTCTTGGGTACAACATTACTGCAGGGAGCAAGAACTAGAGGATGAGGTAAAAAGAGTGTCAAGGGAGGCATACTTACAAAAGTCAGTAGACGGAAACTTGCGAACAGTTTCAAAAGTCACAGCTGCAGGTCAAGTGCCTCACCACGAAACAGGATTTGAGCAGAGTCCGTAGCGGCTACGTTGCCTATGCAGAACCATCTGACAATAACTCAGATAGGGAAACAATCGCACCAGAAAAAAACTGTGAGTATAAGACATTTGAAAGCAAATATCAAAAGTTTGCGTCATTTTTTTTATGCATACACTCGCGGTGCACCATTAAAAAAATCAAAATCGAACAGGAAATCAAGGTAACACAGAATTAAGACAAGAAACCAGCCAATCCTCAGTCACAGAAGCAAGAAGAGATATAAATGGGAAGCAAAACTAAACAAGACAATTACCGAAGCTCGATAATGACGATGTAGCCATTAATTGCAGCATACCAAAGGAAAAAGCGCTATGTCCAGACAATCTGTAGAATCTTGCTTCTTCTAAAGTTAATGAAGACCCTGTTTTTGGGTGTCAGCGAGCCCCCCGGTAAAAGCTAGCTGACGTAACCCCGGCTGAATAGTTGCTTTAGAAGAGAGCAAGATTCACTGGGAGTTATAGGGATGAACGTCTAATAACTATGCGCGACTGATATCCGACAGAGGTGGGGGTGGGACTGGGCTACTGTGAGGGATATGCTATGAGTGAGACTGGTTGATCTCATTAGTGGAAGCACTATGGTTAGTAACACAACAAAAAATGCAATTAGCAGTCATTCTCTATCCTATCCTTGTTGTGGACTATCCAAACGAAGCGAACCAGAAAGCAGAAAGCATAGCGTCAAACGATAGAAGGACGAACTGAGGCAGTACGAAGAACACAAGCACCACATCTGAACAAGACTCATCTAAAAATCAGAAATATCAAGAAGCTGAAGCACATTCACATCTAACAATTTTTTACGAAAAATTGTGGAGTTTTCACTGGATATGATATGATTTGGTAATGCAGAAAACCATCTTGATGTTCGATAGCAAAAGGAATTGAAAGTCATCGAAAGATGTTTTCTTCCTATTTTGCGATATTGCAAACCAAACCTACCTGTCCGGTCACTACACGGTCTAAAAAACCAGTATTTACTGGCTTTTAGGTTAGTTTCCAAATTCAGAATCCGAAAACATAGTACAAGTTCGTTAACAACACGCCTATACTTCAGACTATGGAGGTGTAACATATCGAGACGGGTACGATAGGAGGGTAAGGCATGAGGATATCCTGGATTGGGAAAGCATCGATAAAAAAGAATCCTCGTGAAAGTCTTTTGAATTTTTTCGACTTTATCAATATTTCTTTTCAAAAATGGACTCCAAATGGGCGATGCATACTCAAGATGAGGTAACACGTAACTTTTGTACAATCGCAAGAAAATTTCCGGATCATTACTATGTATATTTCTAAAAATTGTAAAAAGCGTTGAAGACGACCTTTTTATGACAGTATTTACATGAGTATCAAAAGTAAGAGAATTCTCTATCATAACACCAAGATCGCGAACTGAATTAGAGATTTCCAGATTGATACCATTGTAGTTGTACGTACAACACTGGGAATTCCCAAGGTGCATTACCATAGTCTTGGAAGCATTTACAGGAATACCCCATTCTCTAAACCATATCTCCATCCTTTTTATGGATGAAGAGACCGCCGTGAATGCTTCACTCTGTTGATTGAGGTCGTAGCAAAAATATATTTTAATGTCGTCTGCAAACATCTGAATTTTTAGACTCGGATGGGTTTTCAGATAGTTAGGCAATTCCGCGACGTAAATAAGGAAAAGCAATGGTGAGAAAATGCCACCCTGGGGTACTCCACTACTACAATGATAACGATCTGAAAAGTCTTCTCCAACACGAACAGTCATTCCCCTATCATGTAAGTAAGATGCTAACCAAGACAGGAGAGTCCCTCTTATGCCGTAGTTTTCTAGCTTGTGTAGGAGTTTGCTATGATTTACCTTATCAAAAGCTTTTGAGAAGTCAAAGTATATGATATCTACCGATTGTCCGTTATTTAAAGCAGTTATCCAATCAAAAGTAGAATCAACCAGTAGGGTTGTGGTGGAACAGCCCGGTAAAAACCCTTTGTCCTTGCATTCTTCTTGTCATGCGGGGTCTGGTACTCTCGTAAGTCCTCTCCATTCTTCTCGG